TCTGCTTTCTGCAGTTGACAATGCAACTGTGTTTTGCTTGACTGAGGCCCATGAAAATGTACCACTACCAAAACTGAATGCATACCCAGATGTGCTCCTACTGTCATCTTCACTGCCAGCCCAATCTGAGTCACAAAATCCAATCAAAACAGCATCCTTGTCCCTTGTAAATTCAATGCCATAGCCGAGAGTACCTTGAATGCATCTGAGAACTCTTTTAGCTATTCCCATGTAGGGGTGGGTTCGGTACGGTTACCGTACCAAAACCCTTGTACCAATTACCGTACCAAACTTTCGGTTTGGTAAAATCTATTACCATTACCATACCAAACTTTCAGTATACCGAAGTTCGGTATTGCCAAAAGTTCGGTTGGCATGGTATGGCAATGGTAATTGCCATTTTGTTTTGGGACAAAATATGTTTTTTTTTTTGTACCTTTATCTCATACATTATAGATTAAATTCATCATTCACAATTCACACACATAATAATTCAAATGATGCATCAAGATTCATCATGAAAATTAAGCTTAAAATCCAAATAAAAGTTACGAACCAAAACAAATAGAAGTTAACAATCCAAATAGAAATTAAAGTTTCAAACCAAATGAAAATTGGAAGTAAACTTCAAAAAGAAGAATTCATTGATCAGTTATTCAAGCTTGAGATGTCGAAGCTTTTGGAGGAGGCATTGAACTTGTAGAAGATTGAGTTTGTGTCAAGCCTACATTACAAACAAAGAAAACATATTAATTAGTAGTAAGAAGAATTAAAGTTGAAAACCATTTAATAACAAATTTACTGAAAAAATTAAAGCATATCTTTCTTGTTTTCTCGTCTTCCATTTCCTTGTAAAATTGAAGCATATCTTCCGTTGGTTCCTTGTAGAAGTTTACTTCATCTGCCCTAAGCCAACCACTAGTATACAAACTAGTGCCTCCATTATTTTAGGAGTCAAGGATACCCTAAAGGGTCCACAACCCTCCTCCCTAGGCTAAATGCATTTTCAATAGCAACAATAGAAGTGGGGGTTACAAAGATATTTTGGCTATTTGTGAAAGAAGCAGGAACTCTTTTGTGTTTGATTTCCACAATTTCAAGATATCAAAGTCACCAACAACAATGCTAATATAAGTAGGGTTTTATTTTCAAATTATTGGAATATTATAAATATGTGTTATATAATTATCCATTATATAATTTATAAATGATATATTATATTGTATTTTCGGTATGGTACGGTAATATCGTGGTAATGGTATCCATTACCAATACCGTACCATGAAATTTCGATATGGTACAATACCGTACCATTACCGATTGGTACAAAAAATTTGGCACAAAATCGGTATGGCACGGTTGGTAATTCGGTTGGCACGACAATTTGGCAAAAAAATCCACCCCTATTCCCATGTGCTTCTTCGTGGGACCATGCATGAATCTTGATAGCAAACTGGCTGCATACATTATGTCAGGCCTAGTTGCAGTTAAATATAACAGACTGCCAACTATTTTCCTGAACAAACCTTCATCAGCCAACTCACTTCCATCAACTTTCTTCAGTTTCTCACCCGTGGGTAGAGGAATTGTCACTGACTTACAATCCTCCAGACCAAACTTTACAAGTAAGGACTTTGCATATTTGCTTTGATGAATAAATACCCCTTTATCAGTTTGTAGAACTCACATTCCCAAGAAATGATGTAAGAGTCCTAAATCAGTCATCTCATACTTCTGCATCATGTCTTTTTTAAACTCACTGAGCAATGTATTGCTGCTTCCAGTGTACACTATATCATCAACATATATAGAGACAATGATCAGTTTTCCTTCTTCATCAGTTCTGGTATATAAGGTAGCCTCACTGGTGCTTCTTTTGAAATTGCAACTAGTGAGATATGTGTCAATCTCACTGTACCAGGCTCTAGGAGTCTGCTTCAAACCATAGAGAGCATTCTTTAACTTATAAACCTTGTGACTTGCATTTTCAACTTCAAAACCCTTTGGTTGCTCAGTGTAAACCTCCTCCTCAAGTACTCCATTCAAGAAGGCTGACTTAACATCTAATTGGAACAACTTCCAACCCTTTTGTGCTGCAAGTGCAATCAAGGTTCTAATTGTATCTAACCTTGCTACTGGGGCAAAGGTTTCATTATAGTCAATACTAGCTTTCTGAGCATACCCTTTTGCCACAAGCCTAGCCTTGTGTTTTTGAACTGTTCCATCCAGATTCAACTTGGTTTTGAACACCCATTTGACTCCTATGACTGGTTTGTTTGCAGGTCTTTCCACCAGCTCCCAAGTTCCATTCTTTTCAATAGTTTCAATTTCAGCATTCATTGCTTCCTTCCATGCTTTGTCTTTAATAGCTTCATGATAGGTTTCAGGTTCAATAATGGTCATATGACATCTTGCATAGATGTCTTCCAAGCTTCTCACCTTTACTGGTGTATTGCTTGGTGTTGAACCTTGACTGGTAGTGACTATGTTGTTTCCAGGGACATGTTCATCATCTAAGACTAATTGAGTGAGATTTGGAGAGTCAATGCTGTGAGTTTCATGAGGGGATTCTTCAGTTTCGATTATCTCAGAATTTTCATTTCCAATGGTGAGAGGCATGTAGACAGTTTCATCTTGCTTGCTTTCCCAATTCCAGGACTTGTTCTCATCGAATACAACACTTCTTGAGAGTATGATCTTCTTAGTTTGAAGATTATAGATCCTGTAGCCTTTCTCACAACTGCCATACCCCATAAAGATTCCCTTGCTTGCTTTGTCATCAAATTTCTGTCTAAGATTTGATGGAATGTGACTGTAACAAATACTTCCAAACACTCTCAGATGTTTTACACCTGGTTTTCTCCTTGTGAAAGCTTCAAATGGTGTTTTGTCTGAGACTGCAGTGGTATAACACCTATTTTGCAGATACACTGCAGTGCCAACTGCTTCAGCCCAAAACTTGATAGGAATTTTCTTCTCAGACATCATTGATCTTGCCATTTCTCCAATGGTTATATTTCTTCTTTCAGCAACCCCATTTTGCTGAGGTGAGTAGGCAATAGTCAGCTGCCTCTCCATGCCAAGATCACTGCAATACTCAAGGAATTCATGTGAGGTGTATTCTCCACCTCTGTCACTTCTTAGTTTCTTCAATTTGAATCCACTTTGAAGTTCAACAAATGCTTTGAATTTTTTGAACACATTTATCACATCTGACTTGTTTCTGAGGAAATATACCCAACACATCCTTGAGAAATCATCAATGAATGTGATGAAGTATTTGTTCCCTCCAATGGACACATTTTGCATTGGACCACATACATCCGTGTGCACCAATTCAAGTGGATTGTTTGCTCTCCAAGGTTTCTCATTCTCAAATGGTTCTCTGTGACTTTTACCATACACACACAGCTTTCACATACTCCTTCTTTTTCTGAGAAATCAGGTAAACCCAACACCATTTGTGTTGGCTGCATTTTCTTCATGCTAGTAAAGTTCAAATGGCCCAATCTTCTATGCCAAACCCATGGATCTTCTTGTATTGCTGCTTTCCTTGCCACTGAGTTGACAGATTCCATGGACAATGGGAAACATCTATTTCCAGTCATTGCAACTTTAGCAACAACATTATCAAGACTACTATCATCACATATTAATGCATAGTTTCCTCCAAATAGAATGTAGTACCCATGCTCCATCATTTGCCCTATGCTCAGCAGATTTTCATCTAATCCAGGAACTAACAACACTTCATTTATGTACCTTCTCCCTTTCCGTGTCTCAACTACAAGTGTCCCTTTTCCTGTGGCTTGAACAAGGTCTCCAGTGCCCATTTTTACTTTGCAGGTCACTGACTTATCAAGATTAATCAATAAAGACTCTTGAGAGGTCATGTGGTTGTTGCATGCACTATCCACAAACCACACAGACTTGCTTGATGCAATTTTACTTGCATGACAAGCATAGAACATGGTTGCTGTGACTGCATCTTCTTCCTTTGCACAGTTTGCAACTTGTTTACCATTGTCACAATCCTTAGTTAAGTGACCAAATCAATTGCACCTTCCACACTTGGGTTTTCCTTTATATCTGCATATACCAAAATGGTATTTGTCACATACTTGACATATCGGTTTCACATTTCCTTGGCTGCCACTTGGTTGTTTGTTGTGTGCAGTAAATTTGTTGTTCCAGCCACTACCACTGCCATTATTCCAGTTGTTATGAGACCAATTCTTACCCTTCTTATACTGACCCCATTTTGGATTTGTCTTATACTGAGACCCTTTAACACTTCCAGTGCCATTTCCATTTCCTCCAACTTTAGCTGAAAGCCCTCTCAGTACCTGTGTATTTCTCTCTTTCATCATGCAAGTCTTCTCTTTTATCATAGACTTTCACTGAAGCTAAGACTTCCTCAACTCTAATAGTGTCTAGATCTCTGGTTTTTTCAATGATTGACACTATGGACTTATATCTCCTACTTAGACTCATCAACAACTTTTGAACAATTCTTTTCTCTGTTACATCTTCTCCTAGAGATTTCAAGTTGTTGACTATCTCAAAAAACCGAGCCAAGTAGTCATCCAGAGATTCAACATCATTCATCCTTAAATATTCAAAATCAGCTCTAATGGCTTGTAATTTCACAGCTCTTACCTTTTTATCTCCTCTGAACTCTCTTCTCAGGATTTCCCAAGCTCCTTTAGCAGTCTTTTTCATTTCTGATGCGAGGGAAGAGCTCATCTGCTATGGCTCCTTGAATGAGACTCAGCGCCTTGGCGTTTTTGATTTTGTCTTCTCTGGAGATGGTGGGTGCTTCCACTGGAGTTTGCTCAGCCTCACTTTCTTCATCTCCAGAGCCTTCTTCCTCCTCGGGAATCTGCTGCGGTCGTACTCCGAGTTCTACCACATCCCATAGATCGTAGGCTATGAGAATGGTTTCCATTTTCAATGCCCAAAAATCGTAGTTTGAGCCATTAAATTGTGGTGTTTCGTAAATCACCACCGGAGGAGCTTGATCCAGCCATCTTCTCAGGTAACACAGCTCAAATGGTTATAAAGGTACCACCTTTAAGGTTTTCTGAATTTTTTTTTTAATGGATCTCTCTCACAGTATCACGCCCTTTCTTCGGAATCAGACCTAGTGCTCAGATACCATGTTTGAAATGGTACCAGGCATGTTGGTTGAGGTTGATAAAGATTGAAACTTTTAATAAAAGGTTTGAAGAAATCTGTGTTTTTCTAGAGAGAAAAGGAAGAGCAAGAGTCTGTGTATTTTTCATATATGAAGAAGAAAAGAAAAATTACAAGGACTATATTTATCACAGCTGGTCTAAAAACAGATCCTACATATAGGGACCTAGAACTCCTCTCCGGCCATTAATGGTCATCGGAGGATATCATCCATCCACTTGGAAGAAGATGGGAAAGCTTAGTACAATTAAAAAGACAAAAACACCAGCTGTAATCTTTCTAAAACTAGAAAAAGAAACTAGCCGTTGAATTTTAATGGCTCCTTCTAATTTAGGAAGGTCTTCATTTCTTCACATTTCTCAGCTCCCTTTCGATTTCATCTGCAGGTTTAGCTTCTGCAGGATAACTCTAAAGCTAGGAGGCAGCTTAATTCTCAACAAGCCATGCATTTAGAGCAGGCAAAACGAAGAAAGTCTTTGTGTATGGATTGATGGTAGCCACTTCCCCTGAAGAGAAGAGGATGATGATTATTTCCGAAAATGATCCAAGTTAAGATAACTCAACAGATTATATCTGTGTGGTTCACGGGCGCATCAACGTGGGTGTATCTGATCCGCCATTCTGCACCCATTTCTTTCATTTTTAAAATAGATAATTCACTTTTGTGTGTGGCTATCTGCTTATACTTGACGCTCATTTTAATCAGGGTGCAAATGACTGGATTGTCAAAAATAAGTATAAGTTTAAACGACAGAATATATTACATCATTGTCTGTTTAGAATGTTCATTGCTTTTCTGCTTTTGTGTTGCATGTTTAGCCTTTCTCTGGGTGGTGATCGTTTAAGGATGCGCGAACTTGAATGGCTATGAGTGTGCTCGATAGCAACCAAATTTGGGTGAGAACCATCAAACTCTAATCCTAATTTTTTCCTCTTTTGAATTTAAGAGTGAAATTGGTGCATCTATACCCTTTATGTTGTGAACCATGCAAATTAAGTGTTTTTGGAGGTACTGTTTGTATTTTCTCGGAAGTTTAGAAAGGGTGTTCCGTCGATCTCAATAAGAGTGGGTTAAGGGCAGTTTGCAGAGTGACAGAGGTGGGTCTAGGGTTTCTCTCCCCTTCCTCATCTTCTTCTCCATCAAAACCCTAATATTCCCAATCCGATCTGTCCTATTTCTCAACACACCCACATCCCCTCTCAAGTCTCTAGCTTTAGCCGGCCGGAACCCGACCAAACTAACCCAAACCTCAAATGGGCAGTCGGAACCCTTTTTTTTTTCTTAATTCTATTTGTTACTGCTGGTTCCGATATTTCATTGTCCTATTTGTCTCAGTATTGCCACTTTTGTTATTCTTATCAATATTTACATCTTAATTTTTTTCAATTTGTTTCTTTTTACTTAACATGGTTTCGACTTCTTGAGATTGTGAGTTTAATTAAAAGTTTATCATATGATATCAGAGTTTAAATATGATAGTTTTTTTAATAGAAAGGGTGTCTTTTAATGTGAATAAATTCTGTTAACAAGGATTTTGGTCTCTAAATTTTTCGTAGTGTAATTTTTATGGTATAATTTCTGTCATTGGCTTTGTTTTTGTACTTCTCCCATTTGTATGTAAATTCAATAAATTGGTGAAATTTTCAGGTCTGTGAATTCAATGAATTGCCCAGATGGACCCATCAGTAATAGTTGATTTTCATTTTGGAAAAACTGTTGCTGGCCAAAGAGAGGTCATGATGTCCTATTTTGTACGAACTATATGTCATTGATGATAGATTGTAAGGTAATTGAGGTTTGTGCAGACAATAACTATTAATACGAATGGATGGATGGACCGATGCCATGTGTACTGTTAATTATGTATAAGACATTCTTTCTGTGATGTTGGAACCCAAAATTGGGATGCATTTAAACTTAAAGTATTATATATATGGGTGATTTTCTTCTTTTTCATTTCTTTGATATGGATGGTTGGGGAAACGCAGGAAAGACCTACTCACACAAGATATGTATCAATGCAAGTTCTAAAGTCGATTTCTTTTTCTTTATGTGTACAATATTACAGGGGCAATGAGGATAGGGGTTGAAGTTGAAGAGAAGTGTGAGATAGATTCCGAGCTTATTCAGTAAGTCTCTAATTAAGTCGAAATAAACTGCCTTCATTTCTTTTCTATCCATGCTTTAATTTGACTTGGATAATTTTATTTTATGTAATGATTTCTTCTGGGTTTTTGTCCATTTCGTATTTTAAATACGTTGAAGGTTGAAGATGGAGACAAATATGGAATTCTGGATGCCGAGGAGAAGAAGCCTGGTATTAACACATCTTTATTTTTGAGCGAGTATCTCTTTCTTTTCTTTTGATTTTGCTTCTTTATTTTTGTTGTCGAATATTTCAATTTTTCAACTCACATGTTCATATACATCGTTGAGGAGTGTATTTTGCCATTAACAAGCCATTATTTTGTCTTTTTTTGTAATTGTTTTTAAAATTTTATGGTATTATTTTTCCCAAACCTAAAAATCACAGCAAAAACGAAATTTTTTTAAAGTATTGTGAAATGGATAATCACCAAAAAAAAAAAAACAGTTGCAAGTAACTTGACACACTATAATAGGTTTTCTTTTTGGCATGTTTGTGTTTCTTATTCGCATGCATGATTCCGTTATCATTTACATTTACTTTTGCATGATTTCTCATAAAATGGACGTGAATCTATTTATTGTAAAAATTTAACTTTTATAGCCAAGCAAATGATTTTTATCACTCTCTTTGATTTTTGACAGATTACATTAGATTTTATTGTTGTTTATTTGATGAAGTTCTCGATTAAGAGCATATATTTTTTCAAGAGAGACTTTGGATGCGGTCCCTAGCTATGAATATTCTTTGATTGAAACCTTGTTGGTTTTCAATTTTTGATCGAAGTCCTTGAAATTAATGTGATAATTTATTTATATTTACGTTACTATATATTTTAAATGGTACATTTTATGACACACCCCGACCCGGAATGTCCACTAGGATCCCGAATCGAGCCATGCTGGCCGACACCGCTTCTCTTAAAACTCTGAGTCTTGCGAGGTCCCTCATTGGAAAAATACACATACATCTCCTGGGAAAGTAGTATATGAGCACGTTTGAGGCTTAACAAGTGCTAGAATGTGTTGGTTTTCATTTATTCGTATTCTCTATTATCATTATTGCTTCCGCACTATGCACATGGCTACGTCACCCTCACGTGACGGCTAGCATGCCCTGATTCAGGTTGGGGTGTGTCATTTTACATATAACAAATTGCTATATTTAAGAATGAATGGGTATATAAAAATTGAATAGATTTTATATATTAAAAAAAAGGGTACATTTTAAGATTACAAATTTGAAAAAAAATATATGAATGGGTACATATAATTAGGCATGGGTACATTTGGAAAAATAAAAAAGGGTACAAATAAATTTAAAAAAAAAGGGTACAAATACAAATAAAACTTTAAAAATATGGGCACAAATAAAAGAAATTAATATATGGGTACAAATTAAAACTAAAAAGAAAATTGGTACAAATTAAAAAAGGGTTGCAAATTAAAAATGGGTACAAACTAAAACTAAAAATATATGATAAAAAATTTAGTCATAAATATAAATATACTAATTGTAACATTTTTAACATTAAATGAATATATTTAGAAATAAAAAAAATTTATTATTGAAATCATTAATGATGTTATTAATACCCAAGGACCTTAATCAAAAACTGAAAAGGAATAGGATTTTAATCAATGGAGTAGCAAAATGAAGGATGATAACCTAATTTCTCATTTTTTTCAATTTATCCCCTTTTTTATTTAGTAGGGGAAAAGGGAATGAGGCGGTTGAATGAGGCAGTACAGATAAATTTCTTAATTGTTATGCTTTATTTTTCAATTAATTTTCATGCATTTGATAATTACTTAGCACGATAATTGTCAACCATATGATCGTTATTCATGAATACAAAACAATCCAATACCTTCATTCACAAATCACAAGTATACGATGAGCTATTTAGAAATTCGGCATTTTCATCATCCAATTCAATAGCATTTGGGATACTATGCTAGAATTTGATTACAACTCCAGTTAGGAGATGTGAAGCATGAAGAACATCTCTTTAGGAAGTGTTAGCTAATCTGGTTAATTGCTCGACGAAATTAGCCATTTTTGTCATCTAGATTGGATAACTTAAGGAAGAATGTTTGAATGATTGATCATATTCATTAGCCCTATGTTTTTTTACTGCATAATGATGAAATTGACTCGTTATTTAGTCATAGTAATCGATGTAATAGGTACGTATCAACTGTCGCATCATATAATTATTCAAAATGCCCCTTTTAGCATTTCAATACCATTTGCACGTCTTTGTTAGCACTTTGAATACCTAATCCCCAATTTTCAAGATCTTGCAAAACAATGTGACATTGCCTCTCTGTTTATCTTAATATTGCCTTTCTGTTTTTGGTATCTTTGTTCATCTCTTTGAGAGATGAGTGCATGGTTGTCACATAATCACATTACATGTTTCTTTATCAAACTGTATACGATTTTTTATTCTTTCACGTCTCAGACAATATAAGGATCTTGAACCCGAAGAAGACAACAAATGTCATGCAGCTATGTACTGGTGAAATACGAGCATCTGTATTTCAATGGAAAATCAGGTGAAATACAGGTGTTTTTATCTGCAAAAAATTCAGATATGGTGTCTTAATAACTTTCTCATGCTATTCTATTTGATTCTTTAATCAAAGTTTTGTAGTTTTTGGATTTGGTGGATCTTAGTAAATTAGGTAGTAAAAAGTGCTCTTTTGCTAATTCTCAATGTAGTCAAATTTTCTCAAGACGATTTGAGTGGGGAAAAACAATGTCATATATATAAACGTTTCTTTTGGTTGTGAAGATACACTATGGAGTGTGTGCATATTTGAATTTTCAGTTTCCTCGAGTGTATTCAATCTCACATTTCATTATAGAGACCTCAAGTAGTACTTAATTTAAGATGCATGCTTCAGTACAATCGAATGGAAAAAAAATATACCATTGCAATGTTGGTATTTCGTATATCTTATTTATAACTACGTTTTCTATTGCAAATTATCGCCACAACAATTTATATGCACGATGTCCATGTGGCTATTATGCATGCATTATTTTCTTCTATGTGAGGATACGATTTAATTTGTTCCTTCCCCATTTTTCAGGTACAGAGTGGTGCTGAAAATTTTTCTCATTATGCTCCTATGCCCAGTTGGTCGGGTGTATATGACATGCAGTGAGCTCAGGGACACAAATAGGTTAGTTCATCCACGATGCTAAGCCCTGTCTTGAATGGTATCTTGGATGCCGCGAAAAGAACTTATTACTATTTATTTGCATGCCTGTGGAAAGGCCAGCGACAATTTGTGGCGATATTCATGGGCAATTTCACTACCTTGCAGAGCTTTTTGAATTGGAGCGTTTTCTTGCTTGCCATTTTGAATTATTTCAAATTATGAATGACTTTTTTTTTTTTTTTTACAACATTGTTGAGTGGGTTTTGCTTAAGCTTTGGGGTTCTTAGTTTATATCATAACATTTGATATGGTTTCATTTATTTTGTCAACTTAGATACTTTTCTAAATAGATTTTTGGGAACTTTAACGAAAAGTTCCCGGTACTGTTCACGTTAACGAAAAACCACATTTTTACACTAAAAAGTCAATTATGGTACTATTCACTTTACGCTTTATTTTGTCCTTATCGTTAAAACTCAAAGTTTTCAAACCCTTTTCATTAGTTTTCCTTAGATTTTTCTTTATAGTTTTGTAAATGGTTCCTGCCGCAACGCGCTGGAATATTTTCTTCGTGGACCACGACCTCTCTCTCTCTTTTGGACTCTTCTTTCCGTTTCTGTTTCTGTCTCACAAACCCTTTTGTTTCTCTCAAACCTCTCCTTGCCTTGCTCTCCGATCTTGAGTTCTTTGTGTGTCTCCGCTTTTTCCAAAAAACGATTAACTCAGTAAAATTTGTTTAGATCGTTTTGTCTGAGTAGAGGCTTTCTTTTCCTGAGAAAAACCCTGAATCCTTTCAATTTCAAACCCTAAATCCATTCACTGAAAAACAAAATATAAGAATTAATCGTTGAAATTTGTAAAGGGGTTGTGATGGCGGAGAGTAGTAATGGGGTGTCGATTTGGTTCAACAAGAAAGTGGTTGATCCCCTCCTCGAAATCCTCCTCAGGCACCATTTGCTCTCTCTCTCTCTCTCTCTCTCTCTCTCTCTCTAATTTTCTTTTCCTGTTTCAGATTCAAACATTCTGTTTAATCCAATTAGTTGATAGCTGATAGCTCTAGATGTGTAATTACATAATAATTAGCTCTGCTGGTTAATCCAATTAGTTAAGGTAAGGAATAAATTTTGACTGATACAACTGCATGCTCTCATAGATTTCTCCCAAAGATTGGATTTTAAATTTTTAGGAATGTTAAAAATTTAGTTTTTTTATATTTTCTTGAAAGGATATGAAATTGAAAATCCAAAATATCAATTTTTTTGTTGAAATTATTTGACTTTTGGGTTCAAAAATTTGAATGCAAGAGGTCCTGTTGGTCCATTTTTTACCTTTATTTTATTTTATTTTATTATATTTTGTTGTTAGTGTTTGGGTTAATATTTAAACTTTGGGCTTTCACGAAGGAAAGCCCAAGAGAGTTTAATAAAGAAGGTTTTGCCCGAAACCCAAAATCAAGCCCAGATCATCCATCTTAAGATATTATGGCGGCTCCCCATTAATGCAAAGGGCCAATTGCTTACAAGAAGTGACAACCGATGGAAAATCACCAACTCTCGGCCCAAAAGTGCTTTTGGATGACAAACACGTAAAAAGGCTGGTGACTCACTATCTTTCAATTGCTTTCGGGCAAGAACAGAAACAACACAGCTGGGCTAATTCATCTATAAAAGGGGGAGGAGGGCCTAGAGACGAGGACACTCAACCATTCAAACAAACAAACATACAACTTGTCTCTTAGCCAAGCAAATACCCAGAAAGTCGTGCTTTGTCCAGACTCTGCACCCTTCTAGCCTTAAACTTCCTTAGAAAGACATCTTTTGTCTATGTAAAAGCTCTGCTACCTTTTTCCTAAATGTTGTAGTATCGATCTCTCATGTATAAACTCTTTCCCAGTCATCCCCTTTAGCACTCAATCCTTTTGTAACTGCCAAGAGAAGAGACCACAAGACGTTTTAACCTTACCCAACAAGGTGAAATCTCGCCCGACTCTCTTTGTTTTTGCCTTTCCATTAATAGATATGGTGTTATAATGTATCCCTCAATAGATATGCAAGTTATTTTCGGTCTCTCAATGATTCAGAGTTCCATTAACTCTCAGATCTGGTTCACTTAGTACCTTTGCTATCATAAAAGTAAATGAAACTGATGTTTTGATCAAACCTGGACTTCTACCCTTTAAAGCATACAAGATAAACAAAAGTCCTTGATCTCAAGGCATAGAAAAGAACTTAATGTGGACTTAACCCATCCACGACAATCCTTTGATAATGAGAAGTCATAATAACTTGGGGTGCAAGTAATCGGCTTAAACACACTCATTCTACATCTGTTATACAAAGATGGCAGTGGCACGCCTCATCACTTAGTTAGTTTTGATGGCGAGCCTCACGGCCTACACCTAAGGCTCGACAAAGGCACCTTTCAAAACTAACTTCGTCCTCGTCTTGCAGCCCGACGAGCAAGCGAGAGCTCGACAACCAACCAAAGTGCTAACTCCTCGGGGAGCTGTGTGCTTGAGCCAGGGACCATTCCTAGTGGAATTCCTGTCCGAACTGTTAGCAATGAATTTATGAATGTATGAAAACATTGGATGCTAAATTTAGGGGGATATTGCTCAAATGAAGATATTTTTGTATGGATATTTAGGATTAGTGCGATTTCTGCTTCTTGAATTGGGGCAAATAGCACTTTGATATGCTTTTGATGTTGGACTCTTCAAAAAAGTTTAGCACTTTGATTTTCAAAAGTTTCCTTTTATGAACACGTAGCTGGGTAATTTTAGGAAACATGTGAAATTATAGAAGTTTCTATGTTGGATTCACTTTATTTCACTTTGAATCGTTGTCAATGGATTGGTTTTGGGAACTTTGTGGTGCACGAGGAAGTTCTTCAGGTTATTCAAACATTCAGTGGTTAACTTTCCGTTTAGAGACTCTAGAAAATAAGTTGTAGTCATGAATTTTAAGTTTCATTTAAAATGGTGTACAACGACATCAATAATTCTATGTTAAGTTTTTTGTTTTTGGGTTAGGCACTCATATGGTAATGCCTTTGTTCTCTACCTCCTCCTCTGACTCTTTTTTCTTGTTCTTCTTCTTCTCTTTGTGCAACTTCTAAATATGGTGGAATCGGTGGAGCATCCCACTCGCCTAGGCATCTTTCCTTTCTGAAACAAGGTCCTTCTACCCTGCGCCATCTTCGAATTCATTGCACTTCACCCTGCAGGTGCCTTTGAGCCTTAAAATTTGTCTTTTGATTGATTGTTTTTTCTATTTGAATCCTGAGAAAACTTTGTATATACTTTAACCGGTAGCTGTTTTAGCTTAGCACAAATTTTATAGCTCTGCAATTACTCTACTTGCTTGGAAATTATGTTCTTTTTTATGCTCTTTGTTGCCCAAACTGTGTCGTTTACTTTTTGCTGCAAAAATTTTGCATATTTTATTCTTCAATTTTGCCAGAGTTAGTTTCAAATGCCAACTTTCCTTTTTCCTTTTTCTAGGTAATTGATCATTATGCGGTTTGTAAGTTGGAAACAGGTTAAAATCTGTGGCTTCCTTTATTGATGTAAACTTGCATGAAAGAGAGAAACAATAACCAAAAATTTATCTGAACCCCCTTCTGGTTCTGTTTGATTGATTGTCTATTTAGCGTGTTTTTTAGTTTTGCTTGGTGGGTTTAGGTTCATTTGGGTTTATATGTGATTTCCAGTCGATTATTATTTTTATTAGTTGCCGATCATATTTACTGTCTTTGTGGTTGTTTCAGTATAGTTCTTGGGTACACACACATTTATCCAATAAATAAGTTCCTGAAATTGTTTTTAGGGGATGGACAAGTCACAGGCAGCAATCTCTCTATGATCATCGTCGGGAAAATATCGTGATCATTTTGAGTTCGGATTCATCCAGCATGTGGTAAACATTTATTTTCCGATTACTTTCATCTGTTTATTTGTAAATCAATAACTTTTTTTTAGGAATAATGAATGTCACAATTGCTGATAAATTGATATTTTGTTCGGAGCTTGAATTGTAGATCTATGCAAGATAGCCATATATGGATCAATGCTATGGACTCTTCTCAACCTATGGACCTCAAATTTCAATGTGTCTTCCATCATTTATCCTACCTCACTATGTATGGAGCTATTACATTTGCAATCGTATTAATTTCTTGAAAACAATATTTATATTTCAATGTAAACTGCTAATTTTGGAATATACTATCGTTTTCTTGTTGGTACATTAAAATGAAAATATGAAAAGTAGTCTCAATCTCGCCCGGGGGTGTTGCAGGCCGATTCGATGCTACGAGGCACTTTGTTTAGGTCTATCTAAGGGAGAGAGGTGTTGGGTGTTTGAGACAAGGGGTTTTGAGGATTAGGGGGGGTTTTCAAGGATTAGGTTTTGGTGGGATTTGAATGATTAGGTTTGGGTTTTTGTTTGTGCGATTGGCAGAGAGATGAGGGGGGGTCTAAGATAGGATTAGGAGATTTAGTTTAGGCATTGCAAAGTCAGAGATAAGGGTGTCTAAGAGAGATGTGGGAGATTTGGAGGATTTCAGGGATTTCAGGGAGGGGTTTGTTTTTTGCAATTTGCACAGACAGAGAGATGGGAGGATTTTCTGCAAGGGATGAAGGGAACGGGAAAGGGAGGTATGGGTTTGGGTTTGTTGTGATGGGGTTTAGTAATTTTCAATATTCTGCGACTTTTTTTAATCAGTAAAATTAAATTACCAATTGAATTTATAACATGCAATCAATTTCTTTTTAGTTGAGTTCAAATAATGTTGATTGCGCTGTTATAAAGCTCTTTTTTATAGTTAGGTTGAAAATCATATCGATAGATTCTTTATTTAGTTGGTCCAATTTGTAACAGATGAGATTGTTTTGTTTGATGTTTCAATCAAAATTTGATCTTTTTTTGTGTGTGAAATTATAATGGAATTGCAAGTCAAGTATATCTTAGATTCTTGGTCAACTATTATATTGTCTCTTGACTGGATGGTTTTTTATAATTTTCTGGATCTACGGTTACAATGCTTTTTATAATTTCCTAGTTATTTTCGTTTTCGTTAATGTTGAATGTTTTTCTGGTTAAATGTGTCTTATTCATGTAGTTAAGGCTGATGTATTTAAGTCCTGCAACATCATACGGGCATATTACTAGTTAATACGATAATGAATGGCAAGATCTAAATACTTATGAAAAAAATCAAATCTAAAATTGAAAAATCTGTAGCATTAAAATACAAAGTAGAATTATTAGAGAGATGGGCCAAAGGCCTACTTCCAACCACACCGACATTATCTCCAACTTCGTAATTACCACATGAAAAATTCATCAGGTGTGAA